AGTCCCAGCACTTCAGGAGGCTGAGACAGGAAGACTGCTTGAGGCCAGGAGTTTGAGATCGGCCTGGGCAACATGGTAAGATCCCGTCTCTACTAAAAATACAAGGGAAAAAAAGCCAGATGTGTTCCTAGCTACTTGAGAGGATGAGGTGGGAGGATGGCTTCAGCCTAGAAGGGCGGAAGTTGTAGTGAACCAAGATCACACCACTACACTCCAGTCTGGATGACAGTGAGACCCTGTCTCAGGGGAAAAAAAAAAAAAAAAAATCAGCCAGGCGCTGTGGCTCACACCCGCAATCCTAACACTTTGGGAGGCAGAAGGAGGTGGATGCCTTGAACCTAGCTCAAGACCAGCCTGTGCAACGTGGTGAAACTCCATCTGTACAAAAAAACACACAAAAAAGTAGCTGGGCATGGTGGCACATCCCTGCAGTCTCAACTACTCAAGAGGCTGAGGTAGGATAATCACTGAGCCCAGGATGTCAAGGCTGCGTGACCCAAGAACCTGCCACTGCACTCCAGGCTGAGTGACAGAACAAGACCCTATCTTTAAAAAAAAAAAAAAAAAAAGAATTTTAAAAATCTCTAACAAAGTAAACTGTAAACACAAAAGCAGACTTGCACAAAGGAAAGACATCCCTTGTTCCTGAGTATGTCTCACATCTTGAATATGTTAGTTCTACACATGGGAATGTATAAACTTAGTTTGATCACAACAAAAATACCTAAATTAAACATGCAAGAGTAACTACGAAAACCTTGAAAAGGATGAAGCTGAGGGAGACGTTAACACACACTATGATATACACTGTCCAAAAGGAGCAGTTTAGCTGCGCAAATCTGGAGCTGTTTTCACCAGGCTTGTTCCTAGTTGTGGCATGTGTGTAGCAATTCTGAAACTATCTTATGCATATTGTAGCATGGAGCAAATACATAAATGTGCTGATGTTGTTGAGAGCAGAAATAAATGAGACAGAGGCAAGAAAGAGCCCTCCAGGTTGTAACATCAGAGGCATCAGTATCATCCCATCAACTCTGCCCGCTGAAAGGGTGCAGAAGGAGCCATGCCCCCACGGCAGCGAGCACACCTGCTGCCAGAGGAACCAGGTCTCTGTGGAGACACAGCTGATGCCAGCACAAGGGCAAAGAACTCCCAGAACCTGAAACAGCTTGGTATGCCACAAATGGTTAGAAAGTGCTGAAAAGAACACAGGAGCCAGCCTGAAGTGACTCTTGATGGCCAAATCTGGGACAACACGAGCATCAGAATAAGCAAAGGTGACTGCTCTGACCACTGCCTGAACAGAAAGCCCCGTGGGCACTCCCCAGATGGGCTGACGGAGGTGGGTGGAAAAGTCAGCACCCTTGGCAAAGACAGGCTCAGGAAAGAATCGCCGCAGGGTGAGGGGCAGGACACTTATGTGGTCCGAGTGGCTCCCCAGAGATGGCCTACTGATCGCAAAGGGACAACAGCCCCGCATCAGGGAGAAACGGAACAACTCCTGAAAGGAGTGACTGAATCCAACATTACCAACCAGGCTTATGGAGAGAAGAGCTGCCACTGAAGGCCAGGGACAGCATCCTTCTCGCGGCTGTTCACGGGGCTGGCCCTGGGCTGCCTCTGGGAACCTGGACCAGAAGAGGGCTCCCAGCCCTTGCGGTAAGAGGAGCTCAGCAGGCCTGCACTGTCAGTGCCCTCAGCGCAGTTATGCTAAACGCTTGCTTTCTGGAACCATGGGGGTGTCAGTGCACGCCAGGCAGAGGCGGCCTAAGGAGCAGCCCGATGAAAACCCTGGGTACGGAGTCTCTGGCAGGCTTCCCTGGCGGAAAACACCTCCTGTGTGTCCTCACTGGCTGCTGGGGATAAGCGCCACCTGTGTGGCGCCTCTGGGAAATGAGGCAGAGCAAAGTCAGCAGAGAAGCGGTGCCTGAGGTGAAGTCTGAGGAAAACCAGGTGCAGACTTATAGCTCCTGTCTCAAATCACAAACTCCCTCCGCGCCTCAGGTGGAGGCTACAATGCCATGGCGTGTAATAATCTACATATTTTCTCTGCTGCTAAATCTTGCTTTATTTAAGTCAAAATACACAGAAAGAAATGCCCCACAGCATTTTCTATTGGTTCACGACAGGAGAAGTGTGTCAAGAAAGAAAAGGTTCTTTCTAGATTCATGAACACACAACTGGAAAATACAAATGAAGGCTGTGGCGGTGGTGGCGCTGACACCCGCTGGTTCCACCGAGTCACAGGGCACCTCCTGCCCAGGCACGGCAACATGGGGGAAGGACATGGTCCTGGCCTCAGGGTCACATGCAGGCAGAAGAGACAACACGTATAACCAAGGACAATGGAGCCAGGATGGGAACATGGGTGTCATGAGAACAAAACACAGCTCAGGCTACGCCTAGCAGCCACGGGGCAGAGGGAGACAGCTCACAACACTGGAGACACAGGAACAGGACTGCGCTGGGGGCCAAAGTGAGCACAGCACACCAGACCCAGGCGCAAACACGCAACAGCAACCCCCCAACACTTGGCCCAGGGATGAAGGGACGACCCAAACACAGTACATGAAAAAGTACATTGGAAAAATGCCAGCTGCCTCCACAAAGCCTAGCCCCATCAATTTTCAACCCATCCCACCGCGCTTCCTCCCCTCCCTGATACTTACACAGCACTCTGTCCAGTAAATATGGAGAAAAGGAAACGTGAGCAGAGCTTTGTTTCCTTCTTTGGGCAGCAGCTCCTCTTTGAACTGAACAAAGTTAGACTCTAGGTGAATCATCTTGGGAGCCCGGCCATAGGACCTGTAAACAGTTGTTTGAAGTCACTGAGAAAACAACTAAACAACATTCATCACAAGAGGGCACACAGGACAACAAATAACGTAATTGCATCCATGAGTTCAGAGCATATATACTGACCCCAAATCATAACTACACATTCTGTTCAAAATCACTCTGAATTATTTTAAACAGAGTTCACATGTACATGTCAAAGCTCTATTTCCATAAAATCTTTCATTTTCCTCAAGGATACAGGCACGGTAATACATTCATCCAAGTATTCCATTTAACCAGGACCACTACAGGCTTAACAATGGGTTTTAGCGTAACTGAATCTATAATTATGTCACCATAAAAGAAGAAAAATGTGTCCCAAATGTCCAAAGTGCAGCTTTAACTTATGAAAGCTTTAGGGTTGCATTAGTATTTTTGGAACAACTTGTATTTTATCCAAGAAACAAAATTACTTGCTGTAAAATGACAGATTTTTGTTTGCAGAGCACAAATAATATAGCAGTACAAACCTCTATTTTATTCTCAACCCAAGAAGTCATCAAGAAATCCCACAAGCCCCTGCATCTCCTCCAAGGCTCTCGGTGACGACCTAATGATGCTTCTAAAAGTGAACGCACCGCACGGATCTCCGTGCCACACCTGTTCTTCTCATTCCTAGCAGCTGCGTCTCTTCTGAATGTTATAGCTGAATTTTGCTTTTTTACCCAATCTAAGGATGCTGTGTTTACTAAGTTAAAACCAACCATCATTAATGTGATTACGCTGATGCTCAAATATGTGCATTTCCTATTTGCCAGCTCTATTTTTCCCTGTCCTCTGGTAATCAAGTTTTCTTTTTCCATCTTTCCTCTCTGCCAGTTTGAAAGTCTTACCATCTATTTCTATTCTACCATTGGCTGCACTTTAATTCTTAGTATGTAACATAAGGTTTATTACAAAGACTAAAGTTGAAGACTATTCTCCCTTCTCTCTGTTCTGCTTCACACACATCTGAAATTTTAGATTTTGTTTTTAAGTGACATCTTAACTTCAGCAAAACATGCCATGTTGCTGGCAGACATTGCTTTCACCCTGGGTCTCCAGGTTCATTTTCCTTCACACTGGGATACATCCTTTAATTACTCAGAGAATGGCAAGGTTTCTGATCTCACAGATGTCTGAAAATACTTTTATTCACTTCAGTGCACCTGTCTCCACGTCAGGACAAGCAATGAACATGGTAACTGAATGGGACTCTGCGGTAGACACGAATGGCTTTCTGCACACAGAAGCAATGGAGCAGAAACCCCAGCCATCCTGGGCCCAACATGACCACCCGGAGGCCTAGAGAAAAACTTCTCAGCACCAGTGGCTGATGCAAGGCCCTCAGGGTGGGAAGCTGTGACACCGTCTTCACTCAGGACAACACTGTGAATGATAAAGAATTCTAGGGTCTGGGTATTTTCCCTCAGGACTATGATGGGGCTGCTCATAAACGTATTTTATGTTGCATTTTAAATGGTGCTGTTAGAAACTCTATATTTGGTTCTTCTTCCTCTTCTGATTCCCTGGCGTGGTTTTCTGTTTGCTTTCTTTACTTCATTCTCCTTGATATTCACCAGGCTCCTGCAGTATCCTGACTCCCTTCTGGAAGAATCTTGATAGCCGTTCTTCCAATGTCACCTGTCCTCTGTTCCCTCCACTCTCCTTCTGAAACGCCATTCAGGTAGATCCTGGAGCTTCTCAAGTCATCCTCCAGGGCCGGCTTTTCTTCCACGCGCTCCCACTCCTGCTCTTAGCACTGATCTACAAAGTGTCTAAGCTCAACTCTTCCAGCTCACTAATTTGCTTTTCAGCTATACAGCTTGCTCAGCACATCTGATAAACTTGATGTTTCAATTTTCATTTCCTAGATCCAATCAATTAATTTTAAATTTATGCTTTTTATCAAAGTAATAAATACATACTATTTTATTTTATTTAATAAATAAATAAAACTCCAACCTCTGCCTCCTGGGTTCAAGCAATTCTCCTGCCTCAGCCTCCCAAGTAGCTGGAATTACAGGCATGCTCCACCACACCCAGCTAATTTTGTATTTTTAGAAGAGACAGGGTTTCACCACTTGGCCACAATGGTCTCGAACTCCTGACCTCAGGTGATCCACCTGCCTCAAACTCCCAAAGTGCTGGGATTAAAGGCGTGAGCCACTGTGCCCAGCCAAGATACATACTTTAATACAAAGAGTACTAAAAAGGTTTTCTCTCTCTCTCTCTCTCTACCCCCTCACACCCCACCAACACATACACATCCATGTCTTCGTCTGCTGTCTGCTGCTATAACAGAGTATCACAGGCTGGGTAAATTCTAAGCAAGAGAAAGTTATTGCGCTCACAGTTCTGGAGGCTGGGAAGTTCAAAGATCAAGGTGCCAGGTTACGTGAGGTCACTCTGTTTCTTTAGAACTGAGGCTTTCAACTCGTGCTACTTTGCTTGTTCACATAAATGTCTGAACAACATATACTTACTTAAAAATGCACTTTTTAAAAAAAAATGAAGAGAGGGGGCATGAGGTCAAGAGTTTGAGACCAGCCTGGCAAACAGAGAAACCCCGTCTCTACTATAAATACAAAATTTAGCCCAGCGTGGTGGCATGCGCCTGTAATCCCAGCTACTCAGGAGGCTGAGGCAGGAGAATCACTTGAAACCGGGAAGCTGAGGTTGCAGTGAGCGGAGATCGTGCCACTGCACTCCAGCCTGGGTGACAGAGCTAGACTCCATCTCGAAAAACAAAAAAAATGAAGGAGGAATACAGCCAAAAAACACACAACCCATACCGTCTCCATTCCATCGGTTCTCTTGGAAGCTGCTGAGAGAGTGTTGGATAAACAGAGGTAAATAAATTCTGATCTCCAGCACCTGTAAAGGGAAGAAAGAGAAATTCAGTTACCACATTTTTAGGTGAATACAAGTAAAATGGGCTCTAAAGTTTATGAAGTTGGTATTTTTAGATCATTTTATGCTTAGTAAAATGATACTGCAAGACTCTTCTCTATCTGTGCCTCTATATAACGAACCTCAGGAAAACCCAGCGTAGGGCCGATGTGGTGAAACTGAACCCTCATGATACCTCCATGGGGTGGGTGTTTGGGTTCTTGCTATCAAGAACCACAAAAAAAAATGGGGATCAGAGAGGGTGAGTAACTTGCCCCAAGGGCACAAAGCTAAGGAGAGACTAAGCCGGCTCTACTTCAGCCAGAGCTATGGTCCACAGCCCCACTTTCTCCCAGATAGCCAAAAATCCATGCAGAAAAGGAAACCAAACTTCACCAAATTCAGCTCACTGTTCAACCAAATGCCAGAAGGACCCACAATTTATAGGTGGCTCCCCATGTGCAAATATTACACAAGGCACCTGCCAGGCACCCTCTCATTCTGTCCTGACCATGACTCCTGGGAGGAAAGGCCCAAACACGACCCCAATTCAGATGAGGAAAGTCAGCTTTGAAGGCCAGCGTGCTCAGAGCACAGATCTGACAGTGACAGACACAAGTCGGGACTCCAGTTTGCAGCCGGCTTTACGCTGCACACTCCGTGTTAGCTCAGCTCTTCTATCTTCACTTTCATAGAAATGAAAAATCCATTTTGTTCTCATAAAATGATAAAATAACTGTATTACACTTAAGCTAAAAAAGAACCTTTTAATATAGATGACAAAATTCTTATACTCAGAGGATCCTCTTTAGTTTAGTAAAACCATTTTCCAAATTGCTTGTATATTGACCTTTAAGAAATCACTGGGAATTGATGTGTGCCATTAACACATCTGCTTATTTTGCTATCAAGAACCTAAAAATAAAAAGCCTCCTGAAACTCATATAATGATATCAAGTCACTGGGAAAGGGTAATGACATTTCTGGGCAGATGGCATGGTGAGCGGGCAGGGCGCTGGGAGCCTCACTGCCTGGTTCCCATCTCAGTTCCATCACTGACCAGCTGACTACACCTGGGAAGACCGTTTACCACTCCTGTGCCTCCGGGACAAGGGAAATGGGAAAATGAGAAGAGCTCGGCCAGAGGGGCAGCAGTGAGGATTAAATGAGTTAACACAGTCGGTCACCTCAAACAAGGCATGGCACACAGTGGCTACAAAGGGACTATGACTACATTTTGTTAACACAAAAACAACGCTTATGTTTGAACTTACCACTTTTCATCTTGTTCATTTATTTGGTAGTCATCTCAGAAATCAGTAAAAGAAGCCAGGCGTGGTGGCTCATGTCTGCAATTCCAGCACTTTGGGAGGCTGAGGTGGGTGGATCACCTGAGGTCGGGAGTTCCAGACCAGCCTGACCAACATAGAGAAACCCTGTCTCTACTAAAAATACAAAATTAGCTGGGCATGCTGGTTCATGCCCATAATCCTAGCTACTGGGGAGGCTGAGGCAGGAGAATCGCTTGGACCCAGGAGGAGAGGTTGCAGTGAGCTGAGATTGCGCCACTGCACTCCAGTCTGGGCAACAAGAGCAAAACTCTGCCTCAAAAAAATAAAAAATCAATAAAAGAAGAAAATCTTTAGTTAGCTTCTGGTTTCTTAACTTTGACTGCCAATTTCTGTTGTCTTGTTAAACAGTTCCAAGATTAATATATAAAAAATAATTACTCTTTGCTAAGTGGAAAGTAAGCCAACTAAATGGAAGCTTTCTCCTCTTCCACTTGGTTTTCTATGTAAAACTACACACACACACACACACACACACACACACACACACACACACACACACACACACACAGTCTCTCTCTCACACACTGTCCTTGCAATACAGTTACTTCACGTAAGTACACAAATAACATCCATACAAAGTAGAAGAGGAGCTGCCTCCGACACCTGCTCCAAGCTCTTCTCCCCAGGGAGCCCTGCTGTACAGTAAGACTCATCCAAAAGGAGATTACCAAGCAGCAACGTCTCTTGCATCCATCGCGGACTGACTCTCTAACCTGTGTTCACCTGGAGATGTCCGGTCCAGCAGCACATCCACCTATAGCAAAGTGTCATCTGACTTAAGTAGGGATCTGACCTGTGACCATCTGACCTCAGTTACCTGTTACGGGCTGAACTGTGTCCCACAAACATCTACCTGTTGAAGCCCTAACCTCCAGTACCTCAGAATACAAGCATGTGGAGATAAGGTCTTCAAAGCTGATAAGGCAGTTTAGTTAAAATGAGGTCTTCAGGATAGGCCCTAATCCAACTGCCTGGTGTCTTTATAAGGGAAGATTTGGTCACACAGGCAGGAAGGATGCAGGAAGGCCCCAGGAGGACACAGAGGCCCACACTGCCGATGCCTGGACCTGGTCTCCAGAGCTGTGACGCAATGCATTTCTGCTAAGCCACCCAGACTGTGTGACTCTGTGATGGCAGCCCTGGCACACTAAGATAGTGCCCTGAGGTAGATTTGAAGGCCAAATTCCAACCCACTGAAGCTCTGCATTGATTGTGAAGAAAAACCACCACAATTTTCTCAGCATATACAAGCATTATTTTAATATACTCTTAAATCTTCACATCAAGTCTTATGAAATTAGAGATGCCTTTGAAAATGGGGTATGGAGAAACATCACACGACGGGGAAGAGCTTTAGTGTAAGAGCCCAAAAGAATTCAATCTTGGCTCATGCAGTAGGTAATTAAATTAACAACACAGGCTTTGTAGTTTCCTGAAATAACCTGACCATTAAGCAGAAAAGTCACTAGAGCTCTGAGGGCTGAACTGCAAGACAGAGCACCTTCCTGCAGATGATTTTTCATTTTAATCCCACAGCAACAGAGGCATGAGCAAAACCAGTGAGAATTCGGTTGTTCATAAGGCAGCTACTAAGAGCCAAAATGGGGCTTGAGATTCATGTGCCCACATTCAGAAAACCCTGTTCAGAAAGTCACCAAGTTTACTGTTCTAACATAAGAGGCTATTTACTAAAAGAGTCAACTCAGGCCATTTATTTCAATAACTAAGATCTCCTTTTTTTGGTGATAGAGGAGACCTATGAAAATAATGTCTAAGAGCAACTCAAAACACAACAGGGAGCTGGCTGTGCAGATCCCCAGAGCGCATGGGTGCACAGCATCACCCTGGCTGAACAGCAGGCACTGGAGCTCCTGAATGGGAAGAGACATACAGAGGGGACGGCAAGCAGCAGCCATGCAGAGGGACATGGGCACTCTGTGGAGGGTGCTGCCCGGACCCACTAGACAGGCCCCCTGGCTGAGGAAGGCCCAGTTCGGAGAATCCCCGGAAAGTGGGGCAGGGCTCTGGGGTCTGATTACATTAAGCAATCAGTTTTCTGATTATTTATGCAGTTGTAATTGGATTTTCTGTTACATGCAATCAGATGACTAACACAGGCCTTAGCTACTTCCTGAATTATTACTGTATTCCCTGAGATTTTTACAAGCACACATTCATGTATTACTTGTGTAATTTAAAACCTTTTATGTTCAAAGCAAGTAAGAATTAAACATGGTGGGGGAAAGAACTCAAAAAGATGACTTCAGTGATTTAGTTTAACAGGTTACATTTCAATCAACTCAATGTCAGTCTGTTAGGCTGCCATAACAAAATACAATAAAACCTAGGATGGCTTATCAACAGCAGACGTATATTTATCATCTCTGGAGACTGTAAGTCTGATATCAAAGCTTCAGCAGATTCAGTGCCTTGGTCTTGCTGTGCCTTCACATGGCGGAAGGAGCAAGTGAGGTCTCTGGGGCCCTCTTTTATAAGGGCACTAACCCCTTTTGTGGGGACTTCACTCACATGGTCTAATCACCTTCTCAAGGCCCCATCACAAAATACCATCACATTAGGGTCACAGAAAAGTTGCTAGTTAACAGAAGTCAAGAGAAGGGCACCTGTTTACTGTCCCTCTAGACGGCACTTTGTGCACACTCTGAACCCTCATATGGAAACCCAAAGCACCAATAACTCCCCTAATTGGCCCAAGGCCAAGCAAATGAGCACCAAGGCTGGGGTTTGAACCCAGGTAGCTTGGCTTGGGACTTAATACTGCTCTGTGCTCCCTCCCAACTTCTTAATTCTATTAAGTTTACCACTTATTCTGCAGCAGCTGTTTTAACAATGATTGGCTTGGCTGGGCATGATGGCTCACACCTGTAATCCTAGCACTTTGGGAGGCCGAGGCGGGTGGATTACGAGGTCAGGAGTTCAAGACCAGCCTGGCCAAGTGAAACTCCGTCTCTACTAAAAATACAAAAAATTAGCCAAGTGTAGTGGCAGACGCCCGAAATCCCAGCTACTCGGGAGGCTGAAGCTGAGAACTGCTTGAACCCAGGAGGCGGAGGTTGCAGTGGGCCGAAATCGCACCACCGCACTCTAGCCTGAGCAACAGAGCAAGACTCCGCCTCAAAACAAGAACAAAAAGTCTGGCTGAAAATACAGGTTCCAAACTGCCTTCTGTGTACAGAGTGAACATTTCTGTCACCTTCTTAGATGTAGTAAACCCCAAGTTTCTCTTTAAAGAATCAGTATGTCAGTATGTTCAGTTCTTTGTCCTCCATTTTAAAGTTTAACTCCCTTGTAGTTTCAGCAAACCTTTTCCACCAGTTCTAATCAGAACTGGTCCGGTCCCCTGCTCCGTCCTGACTCATCCTGGTCACCTGGCTCCAGTCAGCTGCTCTGGTCACCTGCTTTGACCTAGGTCACCCCCGGCAACCTGCTCTGACCTGCCCGTAACCATCCTTCCCACCAAACCACCCACTCTGCCACTCCAACTTGTACCCCTTCTCTCTTTAAAATAGCCTATCAAGGTTAGTCCAGACTGTTCGGTCTAACCGTAGCCAATAGAGGAAGAACACAGCAGTAGGGGCGACTTGTGTCAGGAATAAGAACCCCTTCCCCTCCTTGTCCAGGTGTGCGCTTGCCACTGCTCCATCTGTGCGACACACCCTTCTACAGAAGCAAATTGCCTTGCTGAGGAAATTTATATTTGAGCACTACTTCTTCTGCAGCACCAAAAATTTTACATATGACAATCTTTTTTACTGTACCAATTCTTGAACACACAAAGCTGTGACAGTCTTACTTATCACAAAAGTATAAACGGATCAGGAAGTTATAACCATGACAGACTGGCAAAGAAAAACAGAATGTTCGGTCGGTTTGTCACTTTCCTAAATACTTGACGTTATATATTTTCAAAGTCAATATTTTTATTTGGAGATTTATGTTGGAGAAAACAAATCTTGACATAAAGAGTCTGAATATTTGTTGATGCTCTGGTACATTACAATTTTTCTTCAAATTCTTTAGTATAATCTTGGTAAGGGTAACAGAAAGTTTTCTAATAAAATGCATCTCTCACTTGATCTTAAACTGCTGAAGACACTGGCAGTGTTTCAACCCGTTAGGAAGGCACTGTCCTCAGCCCTCTACTAGGCTGTCATGGTTTAAAAGGCTTGCTTTATTCTGCAGGGCTTCTTAGGCCGCAGAGCACTAACGGGTGGGAAAGACAGAGTGATGGTTTAGCTCAACCCAGGAGTGCTATGGGCTGAGAAAGAATAACCTGGGGGTGGAGGGGTGAAGGAGGACAGAAAGTGTCCCGCATCTGGAGGCCCTCAACCCACGGCTGGAACACCTCCCAGCTGGGACTAAAAGAAGTGGAGTGACTGGACTAGAACTGGAGATGAACTAATACTAAGGCCCCTCCAAGCAAGGTTCTATGATTCTATTTCTGAACAAAAAAGTCAAAGGAAATGTGTAATTTATCTAAGATTTGCTTTACAGAAAATTTTCCAGAAATAACGATTTTTTAAGCCTATTAACAAAAGCGAGCTGCAATCCACCGTTAAGCAGTCCAGTCTTGTTTGAAAGCAATGGGTTAGAGAGGGCATTGTCTTCAAGCCTAAGAACCTATGTGCTTGCCCACAGACCATACATCATTAATTTCTCCTCAATGGCTTTTGGTAAAACAGGCTTTCAAATGGACGATAAAAAAATCCAAGGTCACAAACTGGGAAGTCACCTCAGCCTGTTCAATAATGCATAAAGTAGATTTGCTATAATTCGTGTATAATGTCGAGGCAGTAATGAAAATTAATGCTTCCGACTGGGAGCTCTTTCATGGCAAAAACTAACATCAAATGCATAATCATGGGTATGGAAGCCTCCCCAGCACTCCTCCCAGAGCATCTGTCCATGAAAGGCCTTCGCATTTGGAGGTGGGGGCAGGGAGTGAAGGTCAATGAGAAAGCATAAAAAAGGATCCAGATGTTATCCAGATTCTCTAGGTAGAAAGCAAGGTTCAGCCTATCCCCTAAAATGACGAAGCAACTGACTCCACACTTCTAGCATAGACACTGTCCTTCCTTCATTAGAAGGCACAGATCTGAGAAGTACAGCAAATGAACCCTCCCACGGTTCTACACCTCCAAGTCTAAAGGCCAAGTTTAAAGTACCCAGTACCCCCTGTCATTTCATCGCTGGCTTAACGTTACGCCCATTCGGCCTGGCTCTCCTCCAGGTGCTTCCTGTGGTCTCTACCTTCCCTCTTACACACACACCCCACACACACATACACCACACACACACACACACTCTCCCTCTGCTGTTCTTTCTCCCAGCATCCTGTCTATATGACAATACTACACTCTGTAGGTGGGATCAAAAGAAAACTGATACATTAGTGTTCATCAAGTTTTCTGCTGTGGAAATTCGCAGAAGAGGAACTGCTACACATGAAGACTAGTCACCAGACAGAAAGCCCCAAAGTCTTTTTCTGTTTTAACTTAAACGACAAGAACACACAGGCCAAGAATGCTAAGTTGTTGAATGAACTCTTCTAATCAAGGAAACAAGTTGCCTTCTCTAGCCCTCAGAGATCAAACTTAAAACTCAAGAGTTTAAAAACAAAAAGACTGGAAAAATGGATCTAAACGTAAGAATACTGAGGAATCAGCCTTTAACAGGCTATACATTTTTAAAATAAACACAGCATTACTGTAGCAGTTTGAGCCACAGTACTGTATTTATAAGTTAAAAGAGATCCTGCCTGTTCCTGGCTCCCCAATGCCTTAAGGCTTTAGACAGAAGTGTTGCCAAACTGCTCTTTCCCCAGACTTCCCCTTCACCGCAGCCTCTGTTCCAGGACAGCCTTTTCGGTGAGGCCTAAAGGCAGTTTCCCAATGGTGCAACCATTAAGGAGGGAGCTGTGGCAGCATCCAGCACAGTGACATCACCATTTACCTCAGCCCAGCAACCCCTCCTGCAGAGCTCCACCCCAACACGTCCATCAGAAAAGTTACAGACAATCTATGCACAACTACCGGAAATAATCAAAGACAAAACAACTCAAATTCCACCAAGGGACTAGCAGAATAAACCACGGTACATCTACATCATGGACTTCGAGAATGATGTCAACATACTCCTAGTGGGGAGTGGAGTCCGGGAGAAAGGGTGGTGAGAACAGTGTCTGCAGCTGGCAATGTCTTCGCTAAGAAAGGGAAATACAAATATGTTTGAATGTTTTTTATACAGAAGGACAAACCATAACAAATTGAGATCGAGGAAGTCAGGAGGTTAGCATGGAGAGGACAGAATGTATACAAGATTTCTTTAAATAGACCTCATTTTGTAGATTTAATTT